AGGTACCACATGTCCAAAAGCAAAATCTTTTTTTAAAATATATTTTATTGATTTTTTACAGAGAGGAAGGGAGAGAGATAGAGAGCTAGAAATATCGATGAGAGAGAAACATCGACCAGCTGCCTGTTGCACACCCCCTACTGGGGATGTGCCCACAACCAATGTACATGCCCTTGACCAGAATCGAACCCGGGACCTTTCAGTCCGCAGACCGACGCTCTACCACTGAGCCAAACCGGTTTCAGCTCAAAACCAAAATCTTAATATTTATGAGCACTGTCCCCAAATCCAATCAGATCCCTCTGCAGCACACCTGTCTCAGTGGTGACTCCTCTTTCTCTTATCATCATCACCTAGTGTGATAAAATCCAGTGGGCTCTACCATACATATACACCCAGAATCACACAACTTTTCATAACCTTCAATGCCACCATCCTGGCCCACATCATAATCATTTCTTGCTTAGATTACTGCCATAACCGCTAACTGGTATTCATGCTTTTGCCCTTAACCCCCAACAGGGTATTCTCTACAAGCACCCTGGGGTGACTGTTATATAAACTAAGCAGATTATGTCACTCCTCTGCTGAAATCTTTAATGGCTCCCATTGATTTAGCACAGCCAGCAGCCTCAAGTCTCATCCAACTTACAAGACCTTCCTTGCTGGTCAGTTCACTGACCTCATGTCATTTCTTTGCCATCTCTCTAGATACACTCCCCTTGCTGTCCTGCAAACATATCAGACATGCCCCTACTGACCAGCCTAGCATGTCTGTTCTTTTTATTCACAATGCCCTTCCCCTAGATATTGATATTGCCGGCTCTCTGACAATATCAATATTTCACTACTGACTTCAAAGTAGCTTCCAATTAGAGCTTTCCCTAGCCACTCTATCAACAATATTTACCTTGCCTGGCTGCCATGGCTCAGTGGTTGAGTACTGACCTACGTACCAGAAGGTCACGGTTTGATTCCTGGTCTGAGCAGGTGCCCGAGTTGTGGGCTCAATCCTCAGTAGGGGGCGGGCAGGATGAAGTCAATAAATGTTCCTTTCTCATCATTGATGTTTCTATCTCTCTCCCACACCCTTCCTCTGAAATCAATAGAAATATATTAAACAAATATTTTCCTTGATTATTTTGTCTTCTCCATTTGAAACAAGCTGAAAGATATTGGTTGATATTGATCACTATTCTCTAGGCTCTAAATCAGTGCCAGTAAATCAGAGGTGCTTAATGAATAATTATGGAATTAATTCATTCAAAAGTGAAAGTCACTACTTATTCCATACTTACATGTCTTAGTTATCAGTGACAAATCTACAAAGTAACAGCCTTGAAAATCCAAAATCTATTTTTCAGTCTTGACTTTAATGGTACTTTCAATTAGCAAACAAGGTGGCTCCAAAGTTTATGACATCTGGAATGCTATCAGGAACCCTGATGTAGGCATGGAGTCCAAAAGGTGCAATATTCCTGGTCTCTCACAAACATGTGTGTCCCCACACCTTTCCTGGGCCACAGTTTTCCAATTTCTAAATGTGCCATCTGATCTTATGCAACCTAAGTAACATTTATGTAGCATTAAAAATATAAGGTGGGGCCACAGTGGGTTTACAGTTGTTCATATAGAAAATAATACAATAATAAATAAATAATAGTACAAGAATAAACTCTGTTTTGTGTACTTATGTCTGTAAATCTACGTTTGCTCCACCCTGGAATTTTAAACTCATAACCACCAGCAGCAATTTATATAAAAAGGATATTTAAATGAGCATTTAAAAGCATGCATTTTAAACAAAGTATTTCAAACATTAAACACTGAAGCTCTAAAATTAAAAATGTTAGATGACAAGTTGATTTTTTTTCACCAGGTAGCAAAAATGAAATATGGTCAAAGAATCTGAGGAAGAAATGGAAATGGGGAAGGAAGAGAGAAGACACAAGGGACTTTGTTGACCAACTGCAGTTCTCTTTCTAGCCAAAGCCTTTACACTGCCTCCCAACCAACACATACACATGCGCGCACACACACACACACACACACACAATCAGACCCTCAGAAACATTCACTCTAGATACTAGCATGGGATCAGTTTTCACAACATACTTAGTTTTACAACCGTTTCCTTAATTCATGATATAATAAGAAGTATGGATCTGTTCCATTGACACACCCCCGACCTCTCCACTAGACCACACTCCCTGTTCTTAGTAAAATAATGCAGACTATGCACACGTTTAGCATGTATAACACGTGGGACAGAGCTGGAAGCTAAGGCAATGAAACAACCTTTGGCAAGTCACCTGGACTCTTTGTGCCTCAGTTTCCTCTTCTCCGTGGTGGATGGGAAGAATGTCATGGAGCTTTAGTCTCCCAAGAGCTCCACCAGTTCCCCACCCTTTGTAAACTTATAAAACAAAGTTTCCATACATGTCTCCTAGCCCTCTGTTTCACCCAGAGTGCTTCTTACTTCCTGCCTCACAGATATTTTGGTACGAGTAGCAGTTTGGCATTAATAATGATCAATCAATTAATAAATTAAAAAAAATGATCTACCTCCAAAATTCTATTAAAGAGAAAGAAGGAGTGAGTGATAGAGAGCACTATGTTCACTTCAGTAAACACACTTAGCATAATTGGGGGCAGGGGAATTGCCACCTTCACTCTGTTATGTCACACCAGTACTTTGCAGCAATTACTGTGTAAAATGAAAGACACCCTCGGACACCTGCTTCATGTATGCAATGGTTCCTTTCTTCATTTTATTCTAGAGGCCCAAAGCATGAAATTCTGCTCAGCCCTCACAGCCCCAGCTACCTCACAGCCCTGCTCCCTACCCTCTTGTTATTCTGGAAGGTCATTCCACTGTCCGGTCTAATTAGCATATTAGTACTTTATTATATAGGGTATCTTCATAGTCATTTATTTATGTCACAAAAGGAAACTTGTAAACACAGCATCTGTTACTAGAGTGACACAATTACCTAATCTATATAATAAAAGCCTAAGCAACTATTATGGCAGAATGACCAGAACGCTCAGAGCTACCCCCTGGTGTTAGTGCACTCCCACAGGGGGAGTGCTGTTCAGCCAGATGCCAGGCTCATGGCTGGCAAGTGTAGTGGTGATGGGAGCCTCTCCAGCCTCCGCAGCAGCTTAAAGGAGCAGTGAGCTGAGTGGTAAGGAGCAGTGAGCAGGTGGGCAGTAAAGAACGAGGACTCCTGGACTGCGAGAGGGTGCAGGCTGGGCTGAGGGACCCTTCCCCAGTGCATGAATTTTATGCATCAGGCTTCTAATATACATATTACCCTAATATGCAAATAGACCAGATGGTGGAACAACTGATCAAACAACCGGACACTATGACATGCACTGACCACCAGGGGGAGTGTGTGGGACATAGTGAGAGTCAGCAGCAGGAAGGAGAGCGCAAAACATGGCAGCAAAGGCCATGGTGGGATGGTGGACCAGATGAGTGGGGGCGCTAGACCAAGGCAGGGAGCTGGGTGCTGTCATTGGGGCGAGCCTCTAGGGGTTACTGAAAGTTCTTTGCCACAGCCCCACCTGGCACTTGCACCTGTAGCTGGCTCTGGCCACACTCACACCACTGCCAATGCCCAGCGCTGGCCCCACTCACTCAGCACTATCAGCAGATGTCAGTGGTGGCTGCCGGCTCTGATCGCTCCTCAAGGCTTCTCCACCTCCCCCTGTTCCTGAGGGGTGATCAGGGCTGGCAGCTGACTTTTGCACCCACTACCTGTGCCAGCCCCACTTGCACCTGTAGCCGGCACCCAATGCCAGTCCCAATAGCCCCTGAGGGCTTCTCCACTTTGCCCTGCTCCTGAGGGGCGATGGGGGCAGCAGCTGCTACTTGCACCTGCAGAAGGTGCAGGCCCCGCTCACACCTGCTGCTGGTGCTGGCCTCAATGGCTCCTTGCCCATCAGTGGGTGGGAGCAGGTCTGGCAGGGTCAGCGTGTAGGAGCAGTGGGGGCAGGAGGAGGGCTGTTGGCAAACAGGGTACCAGGGACTGATGCAGAAGGGGGCTGGCATGAAGGATGAGCCAAGACCCACCCCTGTGCCCACTGCAACCTTGCAGTCCACAGTTCCTTTCAAGGTGTGTGAATTCATACACTGGGCCCCTAGTACTTTCATAAGAAGAAAAGAGCTGCCATTAAACCCAGCTGAGTTGTAAGGAGCTTGGGGGACAACACATTAGTTTTCTAATCATTACATCTGGTTTAGCTGAACGTATGGTGCTACCAGCAGAGTCACCTGCTAAGCCCTGCTTGGCACTTGCACCTGTAGCTGGCTCTGGCCACACTCACACCACTACCAATGGTTTCTGATGGACAAAAGGACCAACCACAGACATGTGACCTACTCTGTATGGGCAGGGAAAAGCAACCCCAGTCCAGCCCCTCATTCCCTATAACGTACAAGTATACCCTTTCCCCATGTAAATTCACTGGCAGGTGTGGGGGAGTTTTTCACTTTCCCCAGTGACTAAATTTAGACAAAATACAATAAATTCCAGCCATAACCAAGTAGTAAAATTTCAAGGCAATTCATCATTGGTTACTTTTTTTTCACTACTATTGAGATCAATGTAAACGGAATGTCTACTTTGGGGGGAAATCCAATACTTTTTTCTAAGTGTAAATCACTATAAAGTAATCATATAAATACGGTTTTACTTGCATCGGTCTTTTTCTGAATACAATCAACAGGTCTATGTGACTCCCCATTAAATTTGATTTAGTCTTACGAATGTCTGAATCTTCTGATGGGGGAGGAATTAGAGTTTGAGAGACTGCCTTACTTTTTAAAAAGCAGCAGCCTATTTTAGTTCAGATCCTCACCTACCCTAGAGACGCCCCACAGAGGCTGGATGGACCCTGGCCCACAGGCAGGCCCAGCATGAGTACTGCTCAGACCCAGGTGCGTGTCCCCACCCTGCACACCAGCCACCCCACAACGCGCCCAGGTTTACCTGCCAGGCTGCCCGGCCTCTGGAGGGTGGCGGTGGCATACAGCTCCTGCGAGTGCTTGCTGTACTGGTCGGCCGCGTGGACCAGGCGCTTGGTGGGCGACAGGGTGGCGTAGGTGCCGATGGTGGAGCTCAGCTGGTGGATGGGCGAGGAGGAGATGGTGGACTGCACGGTGGGGGGCGAGGTCACGCGGATCGGGGACAGGCCGGCCGAGGACACGACGATGTTGATGGGCGAGCTGGTGCTGTAGGACTTGGCCAGGCGGCTGGGCGACTGCTTGGGCGAGGAGCCGCGCGGCGCGGCGTAGGCGGCGCCCTCGGGGGCCGAGCCTCCGCGCTGCAGCTTGGTGGGCGAGCCGCCCGGGCCGGCCAGCGGGGAGCCGCCGCGCGGCGGCGCGGGCAGCGTGGAGCTGGAGTAGTAGAGCGCGGCGGGCGCGTCCGGCAGGTGGAAGGCGCTGCCCAGGCTGGGCGCGAACGGCTCCCGCGGCGGCGGCGGCGGCGGCGGCGGCGGCGCGGGCTCGGGCCCCGGCAGGTGCCCCGCGCGGCTCGTGGTGCCCTGTGCGCGGGAGAGCAGAGGACACGGCTTAGCGGGAGCGCGGGGCCCGCCCTCCACGCCCGCCCCGCCCGGCGAGGGAGGGACGCGGGGCGCCCCGCCGCCTGGGAGCACCGCTGAGAGTGGGATCCCGGCGGCCCTCCAGCGACAGGCAGGTGTTTCTCCAACAGAAAGAAAGAAAGAAAACACACACACACACACACACACGCACGCACGCAACAACCAACCAACTAGCAAAGGCGGCTGACAGTGGCATCAGGTGTGTTAAATGGGACAGGAGTCTGCTTACGGAGCTAAGATGTTTCTGGAATAGCCCAGGCATCGCAGGCGTCACATAAGGATTTTTAAAAGGCCACCGGGAGCTACTTAAGGGCAATCAGGATTTGTTAAGTTTTAAAGCGGAATTCAGGCATTCAATCTTTCCCTGCTGCAAACTCTGCCTCCGAAACCGGCCCCGCTGCAGACTGAGTCTGGAGAACAGCGAGGAGAGCATGCTTCCCGGAGTTTATTCTGGGCTAGGGTCGCGCGCGGGTTCTTTTTGGATAAGAACATTAAAAGGAGGGGGAAGTATTATTTCTGCAATGAACACGCTTGGTCTTTCAGTGTGATGGGAAATCACACACACAGTTCTAGAGGAATCAGAGCGATGGCAAATGAAGACTAAAAAAGCCTCTCTTTTCTAGAGCTTAATCCTGAGCTCCAAACCATTCAGTATGGCGCTCGCCCTCTTTCTGTGGCTCACTTCTAAGAGCCCCCCGCCGCTGTGTCTTCACATTGAAAAGTCAGTGGTCCCCCTTTATACACAAGAACACAAAAGCCCACAAGGGCTGGGGCTGAGGGGAAATCACTTTTCCTTGAATCTCATCCAGAGATACATTTGCATCCGAATGAAAACACTACATTGTCAACCACTTCTGGGCAGGAGGTCTGGGGTGATCTGGCTTCTCCTGGAGAGGAGAGGTTTCTGAGAGCGGCTGGTGTGAAGAGTCCGGTGGGATTGTAAAGTGGGATTGTAAGGAAAGAGAGGCGCTGGGAAGGAAGGCTTTGGAATTAGGGACGGGAATTGGATGGGGAGGAGGAGGCTGATGAGATGAAGGGAAGGGTGGGAGAGACTGAACAGATGCTACCCATTAAGAGTTTCAATGCTGCCTCTCCACCCGCTCTGGAATGGCAACTGGCAAATAACAGACTGGGCTCTTCCATCCCCACATCCAGAACATTCCAAATTTTGTCTGGGATGCCAGACTCCTGCGGAAAGCTGAGGGAATGAACTGAGCAACATCAAAATCCTCTAGTAAGAGCTGCATGGAAAGACAGGGAATCAAACTGTTGAAAGACATTCTCCATGTGAGGGTGTGTATGTGTGTATTTATTTACATATAATATATGTATTTGATATGTATGTATGTGTAAGTCTCTCTCTAAGTCTCTCTCCCTCTCCTTCCCCCGCCACTGATAACAATTCTCTCCTTGAGCAAACCCTAGTCAAACCACTGTTTAGAATGAGGCCCTGTGCTCATCTCTGCATTGCACGGTTTTAGCAAGCATCCTATAGAATCCCTTCTTCCCCCATGTCCCTCACCCTCCATATCAGACAGAGTTCCTCATCGGCCACCGTCCCCAGGTGGCATCTCAGCACCCAGGCCTGGCTTCAGCAAGAATCCTGTCGGGTCAGTTTAACCAGAACCCCTTCCCCATGGTGTTTCCTCTCAGTAATGCTCTGCCCACTGACCCCGCCCTGGTCTTCAGCTATACGTTCCCATTTTTTAATGTTATATTCGCAATTGAACCCAGTCTAGACTGAGGACTCTTTCCTCTAATGCAATTGTGTATTTCTGAATAAAATCTGTATTTACCAGTCTTCTGTTCAGCCTGATTCTCCTCTCACACCACAGAGCATGTATTTTGAGTTTAATAGTTAGTGGGAAGTAAATGTAGGCTCCATGATTTGTTCTGATTCATAGCAGAGATGCCACAAATGTTGACAGGATAAATGAACAAACTGTTAGTAAAGCTGGTCCCAAGGCATTGGCAATGAGGGCTTGACTGCTTGTAGGGGTGTCGAACTCAATCAGAGAAGGGGCCAAAATCTAAAATCCAGCTTAAATCGCGGGCCGAATGGTTTACTGAACAGTCATAAACTGTCATTGTGATGGAAACGCAGCGGAGTGCAGTGATGACAGCGCTGTGCGGGCCACATTGCAAGGCCTGGCGGGACGGATTTGGCCCGAGGGCCTTGTGTTTGACACATGTGGCTTAGAGGAAGGTGGAGAAGCTGTGTGGAACTGCTGTGCTTACCCAAACCCCAGAGATACATTCCAGCAGCATCCACAGTCATGGGCGTGCTTAGACCCAATTCTTGCTTTCCTCCTGGTAAAAGTTCTGAGCATGAAATGTACAGATGGGACTTCTCAAACCTGGCTGCACCTTACAATAGCTAGGGGAGCTTTCGAAGAAGTCTCAGCCCCCATGCTGTACACTAGCCATTCAGCTCAGAATCTCTGGAGGTGGGGCTTATCAGGCTTTCTGAAAGCTCACCAGGTGATTCTAATGTGCAATCTGATGTGAGAAAGAGTTATCCCCAGAGCAGTGGTTTTCCAACTGTGGTCCTTGTTCCAGCAGCTAGCATCCAGAGCAGTGCTGGCATCCCTCCCTCTTTACTGAAGCAGAGACCAGAAGAAGGGGCCCAAGGAAGTGCATTTTAGCAAGTTCTCTGGATCACAGGAATTCTGGTGGTCTCTGAAGTCTGCAAGCCACTGAGCTAGAAGAGACTGTGATGCTGGGGTCAGAGTGGGACTGAGTGTCTGCATTTCCAGCAGCTGCTGCTGGTCTGGGAAGCACTTGCTAAGGCGCAGGCAGTGAGCTTCTGCCTTCCTTCACTTCTGAAGCTCTCCTGGGGCCTGAGCAATGTGCAGCAGCACAGGACCCATCTGGCAAGGGACAGACAAGCCCCAGGCAGCGATTTCTGTGAAGTCTTCTCACAGGAGCACAAGGAGAAAGAATTCCAGAGGGTGTGAGGACAGTCCCTTGCTTACAACACAACAAACACTTTTTCTTATGTCTTGGATATACGATATTCGTAATAACCCAAGGAGACTTTAATAGTGCTATTACCAAGTAGCAGAATCCTACATAATAAAAGCCTAATATGCTAAGTATCCAGTCATCTGTTCCCAATCAAAGCATAATATGCTAATGATAAGCTAAGGCTGCTCAACCGCTTGTTATGATATTCACTGACCACCAGGGGGCAGATGCTCCAACTGGTAGGTTAGCTTGCTGCTAATCGCGAGATAGCGAGACAGGCTGGACATACTCTGGAGCCCTCCTACAGTCCCTCCCCAGCTGGCCAACCTCCTGTATCTCTCCCCAGCCCAGATTGTGCACTGGTGGGGTCCCTTGGCCTGGCCGGTGCCCTCTCGCAATTCAGATGTCAGAGAGCCAGTTTTGGCTCGATGCCACGGCCATGCTGAGGGACCTCACTGGTGCATGAATTTGATACCAATATAAAAAATTATTCTAATATTTAATATTGACACAGATCCTAGAAAAACCTTGAATACATTTTGCAAACACTTTTCTTTTAATCTGTTGGAATGTGTTTTTTTTTAATTTGTTGGAACTTTGAGTCTCATGAATGCTAATTTTGCGGATACTATTGTCTAATAAGGTTTGTTAAATAGCCACCAATCTGCACAAGTTTTGAGCACTTCCACACTAGCTCCACAAATTTTGACAGGCTGTAGCAGCCAATCAAAACTATTTCTAAATACTGCAAGATATTGGTAAAATTTAGCCAATAACTTTTCACATGAGAAGAGAAAAGCGTAACCATTAAAATGTTATATACTCTTTCAGACTGATATTGTCCATGGTGGAAATGTTTAAAATCTTCACTGTCTAATATCACAGTCAGCAGACACAGTGGCCTAGTGGGCACTTGACATGTGCACTGGATTTTCACACACATTTGATCTGAACTATTTGACTTAAGTTGAATTTAAGTCCTCACATGTGGCCAGTGGCTATGTTACTGGATCACACAGTTGTATCAGCCCTTTTGCAGTTTACAATATAGAATCCAGGAGTGTTACACTCCATTTGGTGGTTTATGGAGTAAAAAAGTGTCTAAGAATGGTTCTCTGGCTAATCTAAGAAATATGTTTTTAACACGAATTGGACAAAAACAGTAATCTTTTGGGAACTTGTTTCCATTCTTGTGTTTATTTTTTGTTCCATTGTATAATTCATTTAGCAATTCTTAGCCAGTTGGGGATACAAAAGGCTGCACTTAAAGTCTACCGCCTAATTCAAAGGCTGGCTTATTACTACCTAGCTCATTGGACTAAATACAATATAAACACATTTCAACACACAAAGAATTGCATTCACTTCACTGTCCTGGAAGCTCAATTCTACCTTAAATGTAGGTAAATACCATCAAACTGTAAATGCAATTTTAAAGTTAGAATTGCAAAACTTCACTTAAAAATGAAAAGAGACAACCACACCCTTCATCCCTGGGATAGCTGGATAAGTATATGTACTAGCAATGGGAATTAAAATACTATTTTCATTGATGATGGGACCTTTAGAAGAAAAGAGATGATATAAAACTTTTTCAATGCATTTGGAGAAGACTGGGCTCCAGAACTGTCCTGGATCACAGCGTGAGCTCTTGGCGGGAACAGCTCCCTTTGGTGTGTTTATGTTCAGCTCTTTGAAGGGCTACTTTGTCAATCCCACCCCTCCAACAGGGGGCAGCTCTGTGAAACTGATAAGTGGAACATTGCCGGCAGATGGCAGATGCCCTGACAGAATAGCCTCTGACAGGCAGCATTTTGTGAACATTAAATGTCATTCCTTTCTTGCTTCCTATGATGGGAACTTCATCAAGAGAAAAAATGAAAAACATCCAATTTCTATGAACGCCTTCTGTAGATTACACTTCAGATTTAAAACATGTAGGAATTGTGTTTTAATGAGACAGGAGCAATACACCT